TGACACAGGCGGAGCAGCCATACTGAACTAAGTGATGTCAGCCCCTCTTGCTGTGTTGCCTAGAGGGACAGCATGGGATGGCAGCTAGCCTCATCTCCTCAGTGGGAAGGGCATTTTTGCCGGGAGGATGCATGAGGACTAAACAGGTGAAATTTGTCTTTCCAGGAAGATGAAAGATCCTTCCTGGCTTCTCTAGAAGGCTGACGTTTGCTTGTGGCACTCACCCCAAACCAGTTACTGAACTGCACAGCTGCACAACACACAAGCTACAGCTTCACTATGGTGAAGGTCTTCAGGGACTGTAAGTGGACACCAACAAAACACCAAAGGAGACCATCAACAACCAGGCCACCAGGAGGTATTTCTTTTAGCTATTTCACTTCATCCTTGTCCTTCTCCTAAACATCTCCTTGTCAGTTATGCAGACGGAGGTCACACATACACTCAGTGCCCGCTCACACCAGACAGCGGCACAATTACATTTATTTGCTCATTTATTGGAGTAGCTGGTGCTGGAAGCTTGGTGAAGTAATGACTAAATTTGTTATGTTACGCCATAGCTAAAATTGTTTGTGGCTAGTTTCATTCATGGTAATTATATACAAAAATAGGGCTGGGCAATATGGCCAAAAATGTTATTACGATAAACATTTCCATATTAACTGATATTAGTAATTATCATGCTAAAAAGTCAAATCATTTTTTCTTTCAAGTTTAAAAGGCTGATTTTTTTCCTAACAGCTGAACACTTCACAAATCTGACTAGACAATTCTAGTCAAATAATGTCAGTTAATAAAACCATCCAGATCATATATATGACATACAAGTCAACTCAGTGCACCTTATGCCAGATCACCAAGAGGACCTGACAGTGCAAACATGTCGGCCAATCTCAAAATCTGGGCGTAACATGATCTGGCCCCAAGCAGAAGAAGTATACTAGATGGAGGGTGACAAAGCACTGAAAACAAGGCCGACCTTCCCACCATCCAGTGTACACCACATTTCATCCAGCTTCCGTGTGAATCCACATGGATGAAAAGTTAAACACACAGCCCTGTTAGATCCATATGAAATAGAGCACTTAGCTGAAGGCTCATCTAACCATGCACTCAGTGAACTAAAAGTAAAAGGAGAGTTTAGGTTTTTGCAGTGCATGCATTGACCTAAGAACTCTGTATATGTGGAGAGAGAAAGTAAAGCCTGTTTACAGCGCACTGAAATAACTCTGAAATGTTATCATGAATCGATAAATGGAGCTCCCCTGTGAAAAAACTTGCCATTATAGAGCATTGCTTTGCCACGGAACACTGCTCTCAGAATCTGGTGTGTAGGTTGGACACAAAACAAAAAAACAGCAGCCTGAAGCTCATAAATCTCAGAGAAGTATCCCAGAGGAGAGAGACTTATTGTGTGGAGCTGCTGTAAGTTGTTTTGCCAGAAGCTGATCAGTAAAGTACATCAAAGGTCAGATACAGCCAATTGTTGGGCATAGCTCGGTGAAATTTGTCACGGCTGTGTATCTCATGCAAGCAGTGCAGCAGAGTATTTTCTTGAGATTAAAATGTAGTACCTGTTCATTTTATATTTTAAGTCTTTGGCTTTTTTCCCATTTGTTTTTAAAATCTGCCTGAAAAACATGGTGCACAATCTGAATTTAGAGAGGTGAAAGCTCTGAACTAAGACATGAATTATTGGATTTGATGGATATAGCATCATATATAAGGTTTAGTGTTTTGTCAGTCTTGCTAAGAGTGGGGATGATATGTAGAATATCCACTTAAAACATAAAAAGGTTGAAAATACATTCACTGGTGTGTGTAATCAGTTTTTTGGTGGTAGAGAAGTTGTAAAATGTGTTAATCAAGAAGTAATGTAACATAGCAAAGAAGGTAGGACAGAAATGAGCGTGTTGAACTGAGTTAGGAGAGTAGGCCTACTGGTCCATGCAATAAGTTCTCAGCCCAACTCATCAAATATTGCTTTGTCAGTGGACTGGACTTTCATGTCTACATATGACACACTTGGTACCCTCATATCACCATAAAAGGTGCCTTTTCATGATGGTGTCTGAAGCCAAAATCAATGACAAAGCAGCTGTACCTGATGAGTTGGGAATGAAAGCGGGCTGGTCCATGATATCCTTGGTGTTTGTGTTTGTACAAGGATTCCATTATTTGCACTATTATTATTTTGACATAAGTGATAGTCCAATGATATAGAATTGTACTGCCATAAAGTTGGGGACTTTGTGAGAGACAAATTAAAAATATAAAAGGTCACAATCAAAAAAAAAATAGCAGAGGCTGAGGTATCCTGACTGTAGTGCCTAGTTGGGATCAAACTTCAAAAACATTGGGCCTCATTCACTAGTATCTGCATAGAAATGTTCTTTGCGTACAAAATAATTGTGCATGCAAAATTATTGTTGGATTCATGACATGTGTGCAAGTCATCAGAGGGAAACCGTTCCTGTGTCCTCATCACAAAATTTAGTGCTGGAGTGGAGAGATGAAGATAAAACAGAACTTTTTGGATGCAATGAGCAAGGATATGTTTGGAGGAAAAAGGGTGCAAAATTTCATGAAAAGAACACCTGTCCAACTGTTAAACACAGGGTGGATTTAGGCTTGGGTGGTATCTATAAAATTAGATACTGCCCAAGCCTAATTCACAGTAAACAAAATTTTGAACATGGGTATCCAAAGCTTTGCATGCCACTGTAAATACAAAAAACATACACTTACAAACAAAAGGCAGAAAATATAAGCCTCATTGTGGCAGACTACATCACACATTTGTTATGTTCATATGGCCACTGTCTTGGATTGCTGTCTATATTTAATGAGGAGAGTGGAGTTTAATTTCCACTGCAAAAAAGTGCAGTCTGACTCTGAACCTCAGCGTCCCTGAGGCTGGTTTCTATGTTAACGGTAGAATATAGCATGTTAAATGTTCTCTATACATGCATCTTAGACTCTTCAGTTTACGGACATTGTGGATGGTCTGTGCTCTCAGGTGCATCTGGAGTTCACTGCTGATGGTTGTAATACAAGATTGCCTCTCTCTGGACCATATTTGCTCTCCCATCCTGGGTGATGCTTTAACTGCTCTCCTTAAATGTCTGCTTAAGGTCTCAGAGAATCCTGCCTTTTCAACCAGTGCTGACGGTCTCTCTCTCTCTGTCTCCTGCAGTGTGGGTACATGTGATCATCTGACAACAGTGCTCAATGTCAGTCATGGTTGATCAAAAATCAGCTTATAATAGCTGAATTTTCTGTATGTTATTGGTTTAAAAGGGTCCTTTTGAACCCAATAAAACTTTCTAGGCATGACAGGCTTCAGCATTCATCCCAACCAAGCAATCTTACATCTGCTATCCTCCACTGCTGTCATCTCTACTTTCAACTTGTATGGACATTTCTTACAAAACCCTATTGTTGCTGTATCGCACAAGTTTCTTATTACTTCTAGAATCATCCAGCAAAACCTTATTATTTTAACAAACCACCTATTGCCAAAAGTATGACAAATCTTTTTCCTGGCAAGGATTTTAACACATTAGACAATCCAGACCTCCTTTCTTTGCCTAAAACAAAGCCATCCCCTTGAATTTCCTGCCTCCATAATCCCTGACCCTCTGCCTATGGAGAGGTTGTGGCATTTATTCACAGAAACAGATCAGCGTCCTGTGGTGCTCTCTCCTGGGAGACAATAAAACATATGCTCTCCTGGGGGGGGAAAGTTTCTGCCTTGGTACAAGAGTAAATTTAGAAAACTGGTAAATAGCACTTTGTATAAAATAATGTTTTCTGTGTGTTTTGGCTTAAATTTGCTTTGTCATAATCATTTTTCCATTTTTATTAATACAGAAGGTGCAGGACGTAATTCTGGAGAAATATAGTTGATTGTTGAGTGTCATTCAGGCCGTCAAACACTGATGCTTTGGGCTGGTTTGGTTAGAATACCAACCCAAGTTCATCAGTATTTAGAAACTTGGATATGAGACTCAACAGTCAATGATATTTTTCCACAATTACTTACTAAACCTTTAAAGAGCTTCCCTGACATCAAACAAAACTGTCAACTTGTTTCAGTCTGTTTCTATCTTCGGTCTGACGTTGTGTTCAATCGAACTGATTTCTGTTGGGGAGGGGAACTCAATTTTCCCCAACCAATCATTAGTGACCAGTGTATCCACCTGCATGGATCTGCATCATTAGAACGCCAGCAAATGCCTGCATGGAATAGGTGGAGTCTGCACATCATTTGACAGTTGTCTCAGCTGGCAGACACGTCAGATCCACCACTAAACTTCAGTGGCAAGAGTGGCATATAGGTCATCATGACTACATGGTTCATAAAAACACAAACAAGTCAAGGGAAACTGGTGAGACAGAGAACTAATGAATGTCATTCAGGCTTAAATAAAATCACATTGTGAGTGTCACTGTCCATGCAAGCATTTATTTGTCAACTAGGAAAGCTACCATGGCTTTTGCCCTGCAGGCTGACATTGATGTGTGTTTGGTCACAGTTTTCCAGGCCCTTGCTGTTACACCTTAAGTGGAGCACCAGTGCACTGAAATGGAGCAGACCAATTTCCTAATCTAACATCATTTTAAGTCCACACTGTAGCAAAACATAAACAAAACTGAAGCTATGATGTCAGGTGATATTGAAAACCCATGTCGATTTAGGACAGCCTTGATGGTAAAGCCAAAGCTGGCTACTGTTGTTATTACTCCTCATCGGTTCTGGGGCACCACTTAACAATGCCTGAAAATAGGTTAACCGTGACTCTGATTGGGAAATTGAGTCCCACCACAGTGCTCATCGGTTGTTGTTTTTTTTATTTTAATCGAGAAACTGTTTCATGTCATGATGCCAGACGAATCAGTTCAATCAAACTTCGTAGAATGGGCAGATTCAAAGGTCTGGACCCAGGCAATTAAAGAGCAGGACCAGAAGAGAAGAGTGTGGAGAAGAATGTGCTTACCAGAGGATGTTGAGCACAGTGCAGGTTGTCAGACCTCCAAGCACTGCTCTCCGAAACCACAGGATCTGGACATTAAAAAAGTAATGCAGCACATGTTGACCAAAGCAGAGTTACAACAGAGTTTTACAATAACACAGTATGATTATAACCAAATGATACAATATCAGTTAAACACGTTAAACAATAATATTGAAATATCAGCCAGGCTTAACCATACATAAAATGCAAATTTTATTTGCTGCCCACTCCATTTACATCCAGTCATTTTTGCACTTAAATGCTGCAGATAACTCTTTAAGGCATGTCAGTGACAGTGACAGTGATACACTTTCAGCCACTACAGTTGATGATTCTAACCTTGTCTTGTATGCTTTGTGTGTTTTATTTAAAATATCTGATTAATGCAATTGATCCATCTTCAAAAGCAATGACCTCAAACATACAAATCATGTCAGGGATGATGATACACTTTGCAGTGGTTTAGTCATGTCAGGTTTGGGTTATTTTTATGAAGCAGAGTATGTTATTGTAACAAAGACACTGAGAAATTGCTGTAGCAGAAAGGCAGGGTCGTAGCCAATGACATTGGGGCAGGAAGACATATAAAGGGTACTTTTTGCTTTGAGACATCCAACTGTTTTTATCTGCATATTCAACATGTACCAAAAAGAACCTGATGGGAAATTGTGGATTGGAAATTTGAAAAGAAAAAAAAAAGCCTTTTAACTTGGCTGAAGTGGAAAAGTTGGTGGACCAAACAAGTAAAAAAAAAAAAAACTATTAAAAAAAGTGCAATGGAAACAGACATTGCAAATAAATCAAGACATATGTTGTGTACAAGAAACATCTTTTTCACATGGTTTTCCAGCAATTAGGTCATCTTTTTATAATCTCTTCTTCTGCAACACTTTGCAATGACACCCAATTGAACAATTAGTGCCACCATCTCCCTCCAGTATCTTGATGCACCCGGCTCTTAATATTCACATGACACTAGTAGATGGAAATGCAAAATCATTTGCATTTCCTTAAGCAGATATTCTGGAATTTTGGTTAAAATTTGTACTATATTTGAATGGAAAACTTTGTGTCAGTGTTAAAACTGGAATGTAAATCAGACATGGCCTAGTTGTGTCTACTGTACAAGTTTTTTGTAGCAGCATCTTCGATTATGCTTTTCTTCAGTAACCAGATGTTGTGTTGTTTTGTTTATTGTTTCTTGTAGTTAGGACTTAGACTGATCAGCGAAAACATTAAGGACAATACACCATGCCACACCACAAAAACTGCTCAGGGACGGAAAAAAGGTGTTGACCTGGCCTTCAAATACCCCAGATCCCAATCTGATTGAACATTTGAGTGACGTGCTGGTACCCAGGAGGTACCATCGATCCACGGTGGGTCCTCCTTGTCCTGTAGTGTCTGGCACCAACGCGTTGGCTTCAGATCTTTTGGGTCTTGTGGGTTGTGAGGTGGGGTAACAATAGATGTTTGATCAGACTGGGATTTGGGAAATTTGGAGCCCAGGTCAATGCATTGAGTTTCCTCAGGCCACTCCTGAGCAGTTTTTGTGGTGTGGCATGGTGCATTGTCCTGCTGGGGGGCCAATGCTACTGTGGAGTGCCGCCGCCAAAAGTGGGGTTGCCTGGTCTGCACTGGTGTTTAGGTGGGTGGAGCTTGTCTGGTGGCAACCACATGAATGTCAGGACCCAAGGTTTCTCAACAGAACATTGCATTGTAACAAAATGATCAATGTTGTTCACATCACCGGTCAGTGGTTTTAATGTTTTGGCTGATCGGTGTAATTCATAAGTGTGACTGTAATGTGTAACTGAATGCCCCTTTAAAATGCTTTCAATCCTGTTTAGTTATTTTTTTTAGTTCACGCCTCCATTTTTGTCTTTTACATGCATATTGATACTTTGTTCCTGTAATATGCTTTATTTGGATAAATAAATATATGTATAAATATATAATTTTACGTGTATTATTCAAAGACGTGAGCCTGTCCAACAAAAAACTAGACCACATGCTTAAGGAAACAGCTGTGCCCTAACCAGCAACACCTCTCACCTGACCAATAAAGACTAACCGAGAATGATGCCATTGAGGTTTACATCTCGTTCTGTCACAGGTATGAGCCCCTGTCCATGAGCAGATGCACGCTTCTTTCTGCGCTGTGATATGGTTGACAGGTGTAGTTGGTAGAAAGAAAATAGTTCCTATATGAAACTGCACAACAAACTCTGTGGATTATCCTAAGTAACCAGGTCATGATTTCTGGAAACAGATAATGCTGTTAAGTTTTTCAAATGTACTTTTTCTTAGGTGCTTTGAGCATCATAAGCCGAGTGCCATCTAGTTTCATTATACTGGAGAGAAGGCAGACATCTCTAAAGCCGATATCTCAACACTCTGCAACTCACACCAAAACAATCTAGACTGATAAACAGCACTACAGGTATTAAGAAACTGTATATTTTTGATCTGGGGGAGTCCCTTTAAAAGTGTGTGGTGCCAAGCACTGAAATCAAGGTACAATTTCAGACCTATACTTAATATTTTCAAATAATAGCTGTTGAGGGAATGTACCCACAAAATGTACAAATGAACACCAGGAGCTGTCCACTGAGCTGATTTACTGGACCTGCTCAACCTATGTCCACACTGGCCAGCCTGTTACAGGGTCACCACAGCCTTTCACTGCTTCCCACGTTACAGTCTACTCTCTCAGTGTACCATTACAAAAGATGAACAATACAGTGCCTCATAAGCCATTTTTGAATTCAGTACATCAAGTGTACAAATGAGGAGTCAGTTGAGGACATAGGAGAGGACTAGATATACCTACCTGTGTTCTGTTGTGTGAGATCTGTGAGAAGAGCAGAGGCATCACGTTTACAATCCCTCCTGTTGGGACGAAAACAAAACAGCGGGTTAATCCCACAGATTTCTTGACTATTTCTTTACTTTAGGGAGCAGCAAACCAACCTGTGGGCATTGTATTAGTCTGAGTTTCACTGAATCCCATCATAGCTTGAATGTTGTTTCAGAGGTCTTTAAACCCTAAAGAGAATACAGTTCTCAAGTAAACCTGATCCTCTTTTTTATCTTAATTTTTTAAAAACTTGTTCTATAAACTGTTCCCACAACTGGCAATGACAAACTGTAAAGCAGCCATTATGGTTGGCAGTTTGCATGTTCAAATGGCTCTAAGTAATGAAAGCTAGTGGGGAGTAGAGTCAGAGCTGTCACAGAAACACAAACCCTAATGAAACACAGTGAGAACCTGCCACAACTGATGTGTTGCAGAGACTTTAGGAAGTCAAAGTACATGCTGGTGGTGTGGACGGCAAACACACACACACACACAGACCAGAAGTACAGGGACCTGCACACAGAACAGCTCCATAGTGCTAATAGAGGTCAAAAACTCCACAAGGCACTTTTAATCTCTGTTAAAGGCCGACTCCATCTGCATTCTTTTTGCAGAATTTTCAAATGGAAACTCCCACACAGCTGTTTGCAAAAAGCACTAACATAGGTTACAGTGGCAATGCCCTCCTCTCCCTTGTCTCGAGCGCAGAAGCTTGGCAATGTACTGTGGATGCCAAGTTAGGTCAATTCCAAAAGTCACTTAATAGCACAAACTAACTAACCAGTGGTAGAACAGCAACTCTCCTTGCTCTGCAAAGTGAAATTACGGTTTCTATCAATGGAGTCTGGCAGCTGAGGATGGGGGCAGCAGTCTAACATATTTTAGCCATACTTTCCAAATGAATTTCAACTCTACTGGAAGAATTGTTTGATATATCACTAAAATGGTGGCAGGTATAAAGCTTGCTATTTCATATCAGATACTTCCAACAACATTTAAGATCTTCAGATGGGGTTTTAAAATTATTGTTATGCACCAGCCCGTTACAGGGAAAGGGAATCAACATAAAACCAGGTGTGTTGGGTAAAAAAAAAGTCAATCATTTACAATAAACTAAGATAATTGATATAAACCAAAATATGTGAGGCAGATTTCAGGGGAAAGGGCTTTTGGGTGCTGTTAAAATCAGATTAATAAATATAACCAAAAGAGGGCGAAGAAAAAATGGAAATCAAATGGCACTTTCTGAAAATATTTGATGGAAACTGGCCAAAAAATTAGCGTGTAATCAGTTTTTTAAACTATACCTGGCCCATTCAAGTATAGTTGTACCTCAATAGTACTTCAAAACTAGTTCCATGGAGTGAACACAACAACACATGAAGAGCACGCTGGAGACATTGTGGTGGCTGCAACACACTTTTACTTCTCCAGTCAAATTATGTATATCTTCACCACCTGCATATATGGACTGTGTAAATCCGTTAAGTCTGAAAATAAAGCCAGCAGCACCTACTGCACAATTATCAAACTCCATATCTTCATTATAAGTCTTAATTATAATCCAGGCCAAGGCCGCCGTAACAAACTTAAATAAATAAATTGTGTTCAGCTATCAAACTTTCATCTTTAAGCAATATCACAAGGTTGGGAATACACTGATTATTATGATCATGTTAGTGAGGTGTGAAGCGAGCAGTTTAAATGCTGTAAATATATAAACACTGTGGTGAAACTCGGTTGTTGCCGTGAATCACCTGTAAAGACCCATTAATCAGCAAGCTCATTTCTATACATTACCCTTCATGAGGTGCTTTGCATTGACCATTTATGGTTGAATGTGGGCATCTACAGGGCCGATCCATGTGTGGCAAATTCCAAGTTGATTTCAGATTCATAAAAGAAAATTGCAAACTGTCAGGTGTATGGACAGGTTTATCAATCAGAATATTTTTTGGTGCGCTCCATTTTCTGCTTCTGTCCACACATACACTTTTAGTACAGATCCTTCGCACTGCTTTATATATGAGACTTCTGATTTTTTTCAATTTCTTGTGGCTTCATTTTTTTTTTTTTTAACATTGAATAAATGTGCTACTCTTTATCTTTTCTTTTCTAAGCACTACATTTTGGCCACTTTGTTGTAAACATGGTACAAGAAGTTAGTTTTCCAAATCTGAAAACTCTATTTGTGGCTGGTGCACTGGGAGTAGGTCCATCATGGGCCTTCAGTATTCTTAGACGGAAAGAAAAAAAAGATGGTAAAAGAAGGAGCATGAACTAGAAAAAAAGTAAAAAGATGAAGACAGACAGAAAAAAAGAAAGTGAGACATTTTGTTGATTCTCACCCAGAGCCACTGTGCCCATTAGGAAAGGTTTCCCCATCTGACTGAAGTCACTGCTGCTCTGAAGGCCGACCTCTGAACCTACGGCAAATGTCACAGCCACCTGAGACACACACACACACACACACACACACACACAGACACACACACACACACACAGGTCTGTTGTATCAATGCAAACACAAAGCATTCTGTCAAGGTGATGAGGGTATTTGTCATGTACACAGATAATTAAACCCTCAACAGCAGCACAAACAGCAATATCAAAGAGACATTTAGCTTTTTCTTCTAAAGCAAACAGTGAATGAGGATGTTAGATGATTAATTGTTGAGCATTAATTGCTGTAAGTGCAAAAAGCACTTTTGAATTGAAAATATATCCATACGAGCTTAGCTGAACAATTCATGATAAACATAAAAGAAAAAGTTGGGTATATTAGAGTAACTGTCTCCCATATTCCCCACGATGTTGTCCCTTGTGACATACATAGTGTTTTTGAATAGAGAAGCTCTGAAAAGTACATTTAAAATCAATAGCTGTATTCATGTATTTGCAGTTATCCATACACAGAGTGCATGAGTCGTAATAGCTACGACTTAATGGACCTTGGTCAATATTTTTGTCCTTTTCTTTTAGTTGAAAAGGACTCATTACAGAGTCGTCAGTTACTCTCAGTTGTTTTCTCGTTTTCTCTAGCACATATCAGGAAAGACAGTATATCTGAAAAAGTTGTTTTACTTTACTAATAAAGATCTGCATTGCAAAGGACAATTTTCACACTGTAAGATATGGTAAAACCACATAACCACCACAGTGAAGTCAGGGACCTCTGCAACATTCAGAAAGATAAATGGTCAAAAAGAGAGGGCCCAGAAAACAGACCAAAATAAGAGCAACCTTTGTGTTTTAGAGCAACAACTAGACCTAGAAATAAATTTGCAGTTGTATACCTCCGCGGACCACTCATGTTGCACTCCAAATTGTCTTTTATTTTATACATCAAGTGCACCCCTTCCCAGCAGATGTGCTTGGCCCCTCCCCCAAAAGTCCAAACAGAAGTTTCGGTGTGAGTTGAAAACAGCCAGTCATGATGCTTGCCTCTCCAGTTGTTTTGAAACTTTGTTGGTAGAATTTCTAAGAAGATTTTTAAAAATTTCTAAGAAGGCAAAACAACCGATTTGTTTCAGCACTGTAAGTCCACTCAAAAAGTGATGTATGACCAAGTTATAAAAGGACAAATAGCATAAAAAGACCCCTCTACTGCTGCCACTGGATCACAGTCTGTTGCTTTTATTTATTTATTCTCATTCATTTCATTGTTTTTCAGTTTGATTGTATTTAAATTTTAACGACATCCAGTGTTAAAAAGAAACATCAGAGTTTATGTTCAATAAATGCATGATGTTCTCGAAGCCAATGAGTAATCGTGATTGATGTCAATATCAATCAAAATAATTGTGATTATTTTTTCTGCCATCATCAAGCAGCCCTAGGTCACAGTGACCTTGACCTTTGCACAACAAGTTCTAATCAGTTCAGTGTTAAATCCAAGTGGACATATGTGCCAAATTGAAAGAAATTCCTTTGAAGTGTTCTTGAGATATCACATTCACGAGACTAAGATGTATGTATGTATTGATGTATGGACAGACAGAGGGACAGATGTATGAACAACCCGAAAACATTATACCCCCTTCCACGGCCATCACTAGCGTGGAGGCATAAAAACACACTGTCGCCTGATTTCCTAATGGACAAATAGATATGTGAGAACTCTAAAGATGAGGACAACAGCAAACCCCTTCCGAACACGGTAACAAGACACAAAATTGTTCAAAGAGGATAAAGAGGAGAAAAAGGGCAAGGAGGAGGGTTGAGGAAGACAGGATGATTGGTTCTAATGACGTCTAAGTGAAAATCCTGTATGCCAACTAATGCTTTCTAGATGGACTGAAACATCAGCATGGGTTCTTCAAAAATCTTTAAGAAATTGTGTCCTCATCTCACGATGGGCAGGTTTCATTAGGCCTGAGATGAACAATTGACCATATTTTATTTAACTACTCACCACACACACATACACACACTCACACAAGCACCATAAACCTGACTGCATTATCCTCTTTCGAATGATTTGACCACCCTGCACCAGGCTGCAATATACCCCTGCTGTCATGGGAGCCAGCAGCATTAAAGGTTCAATGACAACTTTATTAGAGGTGAGGGTCTGGAGTCTTAACCAATTATAAAGCCTGAATAAATGTCACGCTAATTATTTTCAGAAAACCGTGAAATTGTAGTCGATACTCCGTGAATAATCTACCTCCCAACACAATTCCACAGCTCAGTGCATGAGATTCATTTAAAAAGTGTGTGCATGTGTGTGCTGATCCACATTTCTATGTGTAGTTGATGTAACAGCTAAAGCATCACTCAGGCCTATTTCATAATGACTCAATAGAGCTCTTATCAAGATGTATCAACTTCATTTGGGTGACACTTTTATTCTACTTAGCTGCTGCTTTTGTGTAAAACAATCATTTAGAAGTCAGGCCAAAAGAAGCTGCTGCACAGCACACTGATTTGGATGAGGAGGGAAGAGAAAAGAAGAGGAGAGAAGACGTAGAAGGGAGAGAAGAGGAGAAGAGAATTAATTTTCACGAGAGAGGTCCCACATGGGAGAAGCAGGAGTGACTTTATTCTTTACTGAGTATGTGTGAGATGCCAAAAACTGTGATGTCCATAGTAATGCTAGTATATTATGTAAACCTCTTAACCTCCGGCTAATTAAGCACTTACTCTACTTTAAAACCTTTTACCTTTATAGATAACTGTTACTTTATGATAGATAGTGTGATAATGTTCTATTATATGTAGGGCTTGGCTATATGGCTTTCAAATAATATCACAATAAAGTTAATTAAAGTAGATAATGTAAAGATAAAGTTAAATAAAGCATTGTTATAATTCAATGAATAAAGCTGAACTATTGGTGCTTTTATTTTGAAGAAGTGTTGATGTTTTGCTGTGAACCTGAAGCTTCTGGTAACAGTTAGCAGAATGTTACATTGTTGCCACTGCAACAGTAGGCGCAGTCATCTTGGTTGTTTTTGTAAAAGCTTCAATGATTCTCCTCTTTATAGTCTTTGTTTCAAACACGCCCCATACTAGATGAACCCTTATAATAAGCCCGCTAGTCACAGGCTGCTGGAAATCTGTCCAAAGCAAAGGGGAATCAGATAAATTTGCCAGAGCACATAACAAATGAGGTCATAGATTTGTCTGGTTCTCAAGTGGAAATTACTGCCTTGATCTGATTCATATTTATTCTGTAGTCCACTTTCTTTCCAAGACTTAGGGGAAAAGATTAATACCTTCCTTGTGTCCATTAAGTATGGAGCTAGAGCCAGAAGGCAATCACAGTGGCTTAGCTTAGCATAAAGACTGGAAGTAGGGCAGCAGAGCTAACCTTGCCCTGAATCTGAATCTGCGCTACAATAGCTACAGGGAATCAAGAGAAAATGAAAATCATAAAATATCATGAAAATACTCCATCTTTGTATCTTGTAAATTATTATTTTTAAGCGTTAACGGCTAGTTTAGCCCGATAAAAAAGTAACTGTTGTCAGGGCAGCGTCCCTAGCAACGCTGGACTACATAGCAACGGTCATTACACAATAATATCAGACCTCTGAATGCCGCGACTGACCAATCAGAATACAGCATTTAATAGAGCCGTGTAATAAAAAGATATATTCCAGAGTGTTCACTGGTGAGTTTTAGAAGGGTTGGAATACCTTTTAAACTTTGGACAGAGCATGGCAGCTGTTTCCCCCTGCTTCAAGGCTTTGCGCAAAGCTAAGTGAGCTACCTCCTGGCTCCAGCTCCATACTAAATGGACAGACATGAGATTGCTATCAATCATCTTCAACTGTAATGCAACTCAAGAGAGGCAATAAAATTCCCAAGACTGGGGCATCGGTGGCTTAGTGGATAGAGCAGGCACCCCATGTACAAGGCTGTTGTCGCAGCGGCCCAGGTTCGATTCCAACCTCTGGCCCCTTGCTGCATGTCATCCCCTCTCCCCCCTCAACCTGAGCCTTCCTATCAATTAAAGGCAAAAATCCCCTAAAAATATCTTAAAAAAAAAAAAAAAAAAAAAAAAATTCCCAAGACTGACAACTATTCTTTTAATTCTAATCAACACTGTGTAGTGAATCAAAATATATACAAACTACTGACAAGTTGGACAATGCAGTATCTCATTATTAGGGCTGGGTATTGTTTAAAAATGTAATTAGTAGTACCAATAAAGTTCTCCAGAGACAACGTTTTTCTGTAGGCTGATGGAAAAGTTAGTATTGGTTAGTACTGGCAAATAGCCAACAGGATTTTTCCATTGAATTTTGGATTATTGCAGGAAATAAGCTCTGTGGCAAATAAATGTTTACAATACTTACACATTTTGTTCAGCAAGATAATCACAAATGAACCCTATTTTCACTATTATTTAAGCCTAAAAGCAATTGCCAGAAGTAAAACGCTAATGTGAGGCTATAAACGAACTACACTATGGTCGCAAGACCTTATGTTACCACCATAACAACACTGTAAAGCCAGGTCACACCTCACATTAATTTAAAGAACACTTGCGATGATGTGCTGTAATCAAAACCATACAAACATTAATTCCTCTCTTGATCAGGGTTTGGCCATAAATGTCCGCAAATTGGTAAAGCAACAGGGTTCAGGAGCTACATACCCTCCAAGCAGAGGATGAGACCAGCTGCCATATAGCAGAGATGGTAAATGATTGTTATTGCCATGTTATGCCATTGTTATTGTTTCAAAAGTGCTGCTGACGCTTATGATATATGTCACACTAGAGGCCAGCAATGTTATGTTGAACATCATATCCATTACACCTTTATGCTTCTGGGATGTGAGCATGCTATCTTTAATCACATACTGGAACGGTATGATGCCACCATTGTTTGTACCCATGTAAAAGTGAAAAGGATGCACAGAGAAGGGACTTTGTAGTGTCCCTATAGCCCCATCTCGGTGTAAAAGAGACTACAGATGCAAGTTTGAGTATTCTG